CATCGATCTAAAGTGAATATGGGATATGTCGGTCCACTCATTCTAATTTGTTCACATAAAATTTTAATATTTGGCAGATTTTTTTTTTTATACTTTGAACATACTATTTTTTCGTCCAAAAAAAAAATACATATACCTCATATAACATTTTGAACTGTCCCAACACAAGTCAGAATATATTTAAATAATCGGGCACAGGCTGATGACATGCAAATGTCGAAAAAACCTATTGATATCTCACGTATTTAGTTTATATTATATCATGTTACCATAGACAAATTAGGTATAGACTAAAAAGTTGTCTCATCTGTTATCTTCGAAAAAAGTGCTTCAATAGATGTCGTTCATGCTGTGAGAGAGGTTCAGTAGACTCACTCAATTCTCTCAAAATACAAAATGTTGAATATTTTTATGATTCTTTATTATTTATCAATTAAAAACGAAACAGTAACTTTGTTTACTTTTACATTATCCAAATATGTCTTGAAATATAAAAATATGGAATTTAAATAGCAGAAAAATGAATAAATTGTTTTCGAAGTCGAGTGACTTCACTATCCCTGAGTGACTTGACTGGCCCAAGATCAACAATAATGACATCTGCCGGAAGGGAAAACTTTAAAACTTTTTAGTCTATACCTTCATTTGTCTATGATGTTACTCCAACAAATCATGTAAAATTTTCCACGTAACAGATTCAACAAGTTTATATGTTCACATTGTGTGGATTACAGAATAGATGTATTAAGATGTAGGCATATGGTTCCTCGCTATGTTATTCTCTCGAAATTTCACTTGCTGTCTTCATTTAACTTGCAATACTTAAACAATTAGTACTCTGTAAAATAACATATTATCTACAATGTGGTACATATGTTACACCACTAAGTATACATGTATGTGGGTAGAATAGATTTCATTTTTTTGTTTTTCATTTTTAAACCATTTGACGTTTCCAAGACGTAAATTTGTGGAACACTAAATTATCTAAAAAAACAGTTTTTTTTGTTTACGAAATTCACGAACCCCACATTTGCTGTTGAATAACTTGTAACTTTAGCAATTCTTGCGGTTTAGAAAAAAAACGAACATTACAAATATTTATTAAACATTATACAAAGACGATTATTTAGCTAATAACTATCTATAATTTGCAATGTCTACAATTCGACGAGTTTTGCCATGACACTCTTTCTTGCGAATATCTCTTTTTACAAAGGAAGAGCGACTAGAGTGTCCCCTGAAAGATAAATTATGCCCCAAACAATTTATTTTTAACGTGAGAAGAGGGTATCTGAAATGGCATTAGATGTTAAAGAAGAATTAGCTTGTTTTTCTTTAATTCCTGTACTTAAATAATAATAATACCAAATTTACAAAGAACAAAAACTGAAATATGTACCTTGGTTATGCTACTTCATATTGCCTATGACATTTTCCATTTATTTACTCTTCATATTTTCCAAACAAACCTCAAATGAGGTAACTGTTATAAAATTTGGTTTTCCAATTCCCTTTTCAAATTTTTCTCTTAGGAGAATAATTTGAAAAATTATATCTCTCTTTAACCGTTACAGTCGTCTCTTACTTATCTAGTCCATGTATTATAGTTATGTTGCAAAATTTAACATTTTTCCTTGGAAATCATATCAAATCAAAATACCAGAGCCTTTCAAAAGATTTAAGAATCAACATTCAATTGTAGTGGCCACAAGTTATCTGTTTATAAACGCTCAAATACTTCAAAAAATGTTTGTTCTTGCTCAGAAAAATTAGCATTATAGCATAGTACCTATTAAGAACTTCAAACAGAATATTGGGAGGCTATACGATATCCTAAGCTGATATAGCAAATCTTTGATCTTGACCTACCTGCAGACAAAATATTGATCTATGCAAAATTGTAGCATTTCATCTTACTTCGTTTTGACTCTAGCGTGATTACAACAAACATACGGACAGACAGACAGACAGATTTTGCACACAAAAATAAGCATTGATATCCGTAACATCCTTTCGAGCAGTATACGCAAATATGTTTTCTTTTTAAATTTTGTATGCATTCCCAATGCAAATTTTTGAGACCGTTCACCTATCTCGCCGTCCACTAAAATGATAATTTTGAGGAGTTACAAATGGAATGACAACATAATATGCCCTGCATACTATGTATTGGGGAGTGAATAAAAATATGACTTAACACTCCAAAAAATACCTGGAAATGGGTGGTGCCGTTATATTAGAGCTTTGTTAATGGGATTTGTTTCAATACCGGATCTGTGTGGGGCATTGAATTGTTTTTAATATTCCTCGTGAAGCCGATAAAGTAGTTTTATACCACATCAATTCCTTGGAAGTGTCGTGTATTTTTAGTTATAGGATTATACATCTTAGTCAATTCCGTTATCTGGAATTATCTGATTAATCTAAAATATATTAGAAGTGTCTGTGGTCTCAAAATTTGAGACTCAAATAAACTAATGTTATGGACATTTATGTTATAAACCTCCCAACATGAACCTTGCTATAATCGCTTAACATTTTTATTGATATTTAACATTTTAGCATTCTGTTAAGTTTTGTTTACAGAAACTTCGAACAACTTATGAATGTATCTTCAATGGCAAATAAAAGATGAATTCCAATGTTCCTTATGTAATGTTATCTTAATCCAAAAATGTTAATAAAAATCTGTTCTCTTAATGTATAACAGTTATGTTTGCTGCTAACAGAAAGATACATTCACTGAACGTATCTTTTGTGATGTTAATTTCACAGAAACATGGAACATTTTACGAATGTATCTGAAATGACAAATAACAGCTGGATATTCACATATACCTCATTGATGTAACAGAAATCCAGAAATTCTCTTAAAATATTTTTTCTCTGATGTATAACAGTTATGTTTGTTACTAACAGAAAGATATATTCTTTAGAAATATCTAATAGATGTTACAGAAATCCAAACATTCTCTTAAAATCTCTTTTTCTGTGGTTTATAACAATTATGTTTTCTACTTAAAGAAAGACATATTCTCTAAAAGTATCTTATGTTTTCCTATCAGATAACGGTGTATTAATCTCTGTTTAGTCCACAAACACATTTAAGAGCATAATATGCACCATTAAGTCTCTTGTTAAAATAAACATATATAACTGTCTCTTATTCGAAAATACTAAAGAAAATGTAAACAAATATAACAGTTTAACATTTACAACAATTATTTTAGTTAATTGGATTTTAAGGCTTTTATTTTTGTACTTGGACGATGTAAACGAATTCTATACACCAGTTTTTATTGCTGGCAGAAATTATTATACAGGACTGGCTTTGAAATTTTTAAATCGAATATTTAATGTTATTATCTCTCCTTCCAATGACAATTGATTAAATTTGGACTTCAGTATTTATTAGGTATTCCTTTCGATTTATCTAAATTCAGCTCTTTTATCAAATCTTTTCTTTTGACATATAATAGTTATGTTATTTACTAATAGAAAGATACCTTCTCTAATAATTTCATATGTTGTCCAATTTTAAGAGAATGTTATCCAACATTATTGACTCTTGCTAACATAAACCTAAATTTCACTTCTCTCTCTATCTCTCTCTTAGTTTTTTCTTATTAAAGAAAATGTAAACAAGTATAACAGTTGCAAAAATTCCACAATAGTTGTTTTGGGGAGAGTCGCCTCCTGATTTTTTCTTATTTTGTATTTCAAGGGTGTAAACAGAGAGCAGAGCAGATAGATAGAGAGAGAGACAAGATACACTGTTCATTTACTTGCTGCTAATTTTAACAAACTAAGCCTTAACATAGTCCCATATTTTATCTCGGCAATTATCTTGTGTTCCATATCCTTTTGGAAGATAGGAATGCGAGGGCTATCTATTTGTTTTCATTTTTATATATGACGAGTGAAGAAGGAACTTTTTTCCAGGAATGGGAGAAGGTTTCTTTATTTCCCCCATTAGATACTTTGATGTTCATTATCATTTTTTTCTAATTTATTTTTATTTATTTAAAAATATTCCTCTGTTTTTGTTACGATTATTTGACAAAATTAAATTTCTCTCTTTTTACATTTTGTAAAATTTATCCATTCGGTGACAATAACATTCATTGTCCAATAGCCGGTACATGCGCCTCACGAACCGACACTGTGCTGCTCTCCAAGTATTTGTGGCCGCACACAAACCAGTTGTTGGAGCATAAATATTTCATGAGAGAGTGGGAGAGCATAACCAAAACTTCCCAAAAACAATAAAACAAATAAAGCAAACAACTAAACAGAACGAGTAACCATAACATATCCTAGCTCTCAATTTGTAGGGAGCCTTGTGGCACAGAGAGAGGGAGAGTAAAAATGATAGAGAGCCCTAACATTGACGAGTCCAATAAGACAGAAAATATTGTATACAAATAATAAAAATGATAGTTAAAAGTAAAATCGAAGTAAACAAACGAACGAGTGGTCTTGGGAGAGAGAGAGCGCGTGTAAAATAAATCCACAAGGCAACAAGGCAACAAGGAGTTACAAAATAAATGACACAGAGAGTGGGAGAGCGACTGTAATAATTTAGCAATGTTCCTTTGCATGGCACTCACACACACGCACAGTCACACATATTATGTGATTGCAGATAGTAGATACATGCAACAAAGTGGGGATATGAAAACACTGGATTTCTAAAGGAAAATATGATGAATTGCTTTAGAAAAAGATGAAATATATGTTTTTTAAGGAAAAATTATTTATTTTGTTTCTGATAAATCAGAGCAAAAATTCTTTAGGGTCCAGCGCAAAAAGCAAATGTCTTAACAGAAGAAATGTCAAAACAAAATCCCCTACTAAATCATCTTTGCTCCTCTCCTTGGTCAACATAACCCAACCAGGAGACTACAATGTGGTCGGTGTTGTCATCTACTCCAGTTTAGTGTTGCTTCCATGTTACTATTGTTGCTGTTATTGTTGTTGCCACTGTCTCTTGTGTACTTTACATTACTCGCGCGCTCTGTTATTCAAACCAACCAGCCAGCCAGCCAGCCAACCAACCATACACACAGAGTATCTTGTGGATGAAACGAATTCAAATTCAGTTTTGTGTTATTCGTCGGTACGTTTGGACGCGTAAAAACAATCCGTACCACATAGTATGTAACGCGCGTTTTTCTTTCACAAAAGGAAGGAAATCAAAGAAAAAAAAATCCCATTGGAAAAAAAATTGTTCACATATAAAAGCAAAAATTAAAAAATTAAATTAAAAATAAATAAAGGAAAAATTATTCTAACCAAATGAAATCAATTGAAATAATAAAATGTGAAGAAAGTTTACAGTGAAAATATCCCCACGAAACGAAATCGAAAATGCAGCGAAAAATATAAATAGCAATACAAAAAGTGTTGTCGTCTTGTGTAGCGAAAAAAAAAAAATAAATAAAAACCCGAAGTAAAATTTGCAAAACAATACGTTTACCTTCTATTCGAATGTGCAAAACCTTGGATTACCCGAATGGATATTGAATTTGAAAGGAGAAGTAGTGCTGCTCTCAAGTACGCCTTGCTGACGCAAAACCCTTAAACCGGGAATAACTTACTGCGGTGACCAAAAAAAAAAAAAAAAAAAAAAAGAATCTTGGCAAATTGTGTTCGGCGGAAACCAAACAAATCGTCGTCACGGAAGCTGAGTTTATTTTGGAGAGCACCTTAAATCATCATCGTTGCTTTGCTTTGCCAACTACCAACCAAATGAGCGGTGAGCGAGCAAATGTTGCAGCATCAAACGAATAACAACCAAATGTAGGTCGAAAATGTTTGTTAAAATAAATCAATTAGATGAAAAAAGAAATATTTATATAAACAATATATATATAAAAAAGGACAAATCAATTAAAAAATATATACATAAACAAAATATAGAGAATGGGCTGAGAGATATGTGTGTTATTTTGCAAGCAAGTAAAGCCAATTAGAATCTTCCTAGAGAGTCCAAATGAATATTTTCTAAGCAAATATAGTGTACGGCTTCTATATCAGCCCTAAATATTGCCTAGCTTTGTGACACTCATCCAAGAATTGCTATGGTTCTTACAGCCCTTTCTAGAAGTGAACTCAAAGAGTTGTGATTTGTTATATCAGAACTACCTAACTGTGCGAAAAATTATATTGTTGTTTTTTTTTTAATAAAAAAAAATATTATAATAATAAATCAAATATAACAGTGTCTCGTGAGAAATCCGGAAAAATTGTGAAAGAATGCTAGAGATTTTTGAAAACCATGGAAATGATGTGAAATAAATATCACCGAGCCGGATAGAGTTTTGGTATTTTGTAGGATACAAAACAGTGTCGGACCGGTTGAGTTGTACTAATTAGCAGGTTACATTTTGAGTAGGACCAGAACCGGTCAATATTATTGGACAAAATATTATAAACATGACGGTGCCAAAATAAGTAATTTTTTGCTGCCTCAGAATGGGTAGCTAAAAATGATTTTAGATGTGGTGGTATAGGTTCATTGAGAATAAAAACAAATCCAAGCATCGAAATCGAAACCCAAAATTTAAATAATAATAATAAAAGCTATTAATTCAATAATATGTATAATTTTCAAACGTTATATATATTTTTGTCGAATAGAAAATGAAATAATATCCTTTAGGGCATGTTTCTGTAAAACGACACGTAACTGAATTCGAACGAAAAACACCATTTCAAATATATATTTTTTCAAATTTCTCGAAAAGACTCATTTGGAATGGTGCCTTACTTTCACATTCGTATCGTCATATATGAACTTGCCCTTAATATCATTCAAAACCCAAGATCCATGCTTTTAAAGATTAAAGAAAATATAAAAAAAATCACTTAGAGGGTTAAAAGGTCAAAAAAGACCAATAAAATAGAAAAAGAAATAAGTGCTAACTACCGAATTGCAATATAGAGGTTTGTGATATTACTTTTACGTTGTTTTTCAAATTGTTGGATGTTATGTTTTTATACCCTCCACCACACTAATGAAGGATTATTCAGAACCTAGTTCTGTATTGTTATACGAATGTGAATTAGAAAGAAAAACATCAATTCTATGTTAATTTATTTAAACTTAAATCATAAATATGAATGGATGTTTTTCTTACGAGTTCCTTTTTCAATCGCTATACAAAATGAGGACTTCTTTAAATGAAAAAAAAAAAAAAAAAAAAAAAAAATGTGAAAAATCCATTTGGAATGGCGTTTTTCTTTTACATTGTCATATCATTTAAATCCCAAGAATCGGGCCTTAGATTAAAAAAGTGAGAAAAAATTCACATAAAGCCCAAGAGACTATAAGAAAAAAAAATACGCATTAGCTACCGAATTGCAATATAGAGATCTGAGATATAAGTTTTTAAGGTGACTTCCAAATAGTTGAAGGTTTCATTTTTATACCCTTAACAACACTAAGGAAGTAATATTAAGAGTCGGTTATAGGATGGCGATACGGAATTAAATTTACAAGAAAAACACGAATTGCATACATATTTTTTCAATTAAATAAAATCAAAAAAAAAATAAAAAATGAAGACCATGCTAGGAAAAGGTGTTCTTCTGTCGATTTTAATTTCCAACGCCAATCAAAAAACTGGCCATAAATTTGTCATTCCGAAATAAGCACTTTAGATGCCACAAAACATAAAACGCTCATTTACTCAAAGTCTGGCATAGCTCTAAAAATAAGGGGTTTGAAGTTGGCATTTTATATGTTCTCTACGAATGTTACATTATCTTTCTATCAAGTTTCCATGTTGATATCTGTAAAACTTAAGGAGTTTCAGTTTTTACTTGGAGTTTGACACACATTAACAAAACTTCAAATCTTGCTTGATTTTGTACAGAAATAAAGCACCGATGTTTGGTGACCCCTAAGCAAATAATTATCTATGCAGTAATATTACTTTTTGTGTAAAAACCCCAAATAGTCCAAAATCCCAAATTGGTCCGATAACTTAAATAGAGTTTTTCTCGAAAATAATTTTTGAGAAGTGACACTTTTTGAGTAAATGAGGAGATCTTCTTGATCAGCATAATCAAGATCGATTTAGCCATGTCCTCCAGTCTGTCTGTACTCAATTGTATTATAGGTATTTTTTGCACTGAAATGCGACGCATAGGTCCAACGATTTGGTATAGCTCCCAAGTCGAGTTCTGATTTTTTAAACATTTTAAATTTTATAGGAGCCAAAAAGTATGCAATGAATTATGCAATTTTAGTTTAAAATCTTTTGATAAAACAATTCATATCTTAAGGCAATATACGTGATATTAGAGTCATATGTAAGGTAAATTTCTCCACAACGAACTGTAACATTTTCATGGCGTAAAATAACGCTCCATTTTAAATATATTTTTAAGTTAAAATTTGTTTCCTATGTCCTCAAGGTATGCCATAGAAATGTTAAATATAAAATGTGAAAGACTCATTTTACATATGCCTCTAACATCATGTGTAATCGTTGTTTAGAGATACGTAACTCGATTTTCGTTTAATTTATTTTTGGTTAATGACACAATTTAAACTCATTATTAACTTTTGCTTGCGATAGAAATAGCAAAGCCGTATTTTCATTTGATTTATATTTTTGATTTCTTTTAAAGTATTTTAATTCTCAAACGAGCCAAAAAAGTATGCAATGAGTAATCTTTTTTAAGATTGTATTTCCCTTCCTTGATATTTCTTATGAAGGTGTGTTAAAATCAAACCTCTCATTTCTTACTAAAACAATAAATATAATAACTGGAATTTATTTTAATCAAATTTTAGATTCTACAAACTTTAAAGTCAAATTCGACTTTTCATCATAGTCTTCCGATGTTTTGGAATATTTTAATTGCCGTCCAAGCCAAAAGCAAACCACTTATCTGATGGCAAAACATTTTATCCAATTTTTGTACCGAATAGTTTGATAGTCCATATCGACCTTTTTTGCATAAAAACAAAATCCATTTTTCAATCGACTTTCAACTTTCTACTTAATTCTTATTCGAGCCAAAAAGTATGCAACAGTTTTCTACTCATTTAATAAAGCTCTTCAAATAGTTACAATAAAGAACCAAACTATCTTTTGGTAGCAGTACACAATCGCAAACAAATTAAATTTCGGTAGACTTCTTGGAGTTTTTAGACTTATGTCAGCATATTTATCTATATTTTTAAATTACTTCAATGAACCAACTTTTTTTTCAATCAAAATATTTTTTTTCGTCTAGAAACCTTTTGCACACAACATATTTTCTTTCAAAACAACGAGCCCTGTTCAAAATATTTTCATTTAACTTTTGTTTTGTGCTACGAAACTAACAAAAACAATTAGAAAATGATTAAAAATTCCAATAAGTACATTATTTATGGTTTTGTCGTTCTCTCTTAAAAGGGGATGTCCTTTGAATACAGGTTTCAAGGTATGACCTTAAATATACATAAAGTAGTGAGTGTCCAGTCTTGTGTGGCATTTGATAATTGCGTACTAAGAGACAAGGACATGAGATGGAGAATATTAGGTTGAATATAACGTGTGAAGTGGAATTTTACTTCTGAGGACTTCAAACGCGGAAATCGATCATATAAAATGACTGAGAATAGACCCCTTCTTTTGAAGTGTAAATAACGGAAATCATTTTAAATTAGGTAGTAATTCATTGAAAAATCTTCACATGAAAGTGGAATAAATATTTTTTTTTTTTGTATTTTATTTATTTATTTTTGTTTTTTTTTTTTTTTTAATCCAAAAAAATACTTTTTTTTCAAATTGTAAAGAAATTACATCAGACCGAAATTCGAGCGGAAAAATTGTTATATACCTCTAATGTATGAACAGGCTAAGACCCTCAAAATATACTGTAGAAAAATCTCTATTTTTGAACAAAAATAAAAGGAAGTTGTTTTTTTTTTTTTTTTTTTTTTTTTTTTTTTGATGCAGATTCTTGGAATATATTTACAATTTTTAAAAAAACATCGTCCCGGACGGGACAATCTCTATTTTTGAATTCTGCAATATATTTAAATAAAATAGTATTAACATACTAGCTTCAAGTCTGACGGAAAATGGTTATTTCGAGGAGTTGGAAACGGAATTGTGAACTTATATATACTTAATGGTTCATATTGATAATCGAATGTGACATATAACTGTTTTGAATTATACGGATAAAGCTTAAATATTCAAAAATGTTCATTAGATCCTTAACTATCTACAAATCCATGTGCGTTTCCCTAGTTTTGCGAATTTTTGTGAAAAGACATTTCACTGGAATATATTTTTAGATCCTTAACTTTCTACAGATACATGTGCGTTTCCCTAGTTTTGTAAATTTCATGAAAAGACATTTCACTGAAATATATTTTGTCATCCTGGGCTTCCCTTTATCTGTTGACATCCAGTTAGGTTTAATTTTTTGACAACAATTTCACCCCAATATTTAAAAACACCTTTACTCGAAAATTATTCCTCTTTTACTGCTAAATCTTTAACCCTCCCCCTTATGACAAACTGTGTGTACTTGTGTGTGCTCCATACTTGTCGCACATCAGCTGCCTTGCAAAAATCATCTGCCCAGTTTATGCAGAAGTTTTGTTGTGTTTCGAAATATTTTGGCAAACGACAATATTTATTTTAGTCCTTTAAACCCAATGGCAAATAATTCCACAAGAAATGTTGCAACATTTCCTGTCAACAAAATCCGGCGACCAAGCAAGCAAGCTCAGAAGGTGAAACAGTAGAACATGGCAAAATATTTACCTAAACTAGATAACGAAACAC